GCCCTGCGAACAAAAAAAAAAAAGCATTGGAATCGAGGTGTACTATCAAAATTTCTCAAAATTAGAAATACCATGTAGGTATCATGACAAAATGATAAGCACCTTTACTTTGAATTCAATCGAGCTAATTCAAAATTAAAAACTGCATTCTCTCATCTCTTATAACAACTAAATAATACTACAATTCACTAGACCAGCTAGATTTTCCATGTCAATCGACCAAATAACTTAATTACAATAACATATATATGGCCATTAATCAAAGCAATCATTTTTGAAGTTGGTGTATAAAATTGTGAGTACCAACAACTTCAAGCCATGGTGACCATGCCCGACTTGTTCTCGACTGTTGAGAACTGAACCCACGAGAAACAAGAGGCTCGACATTAGAAACGGGATAAGAACACTCTGCTGCAAGACCTGTACGTGCCCGCCCGCCCTCTCGTACACCTGGCACGAGTTGTGGATCGACCCGAGTAGCCACAGAGCGGGACCCGCAATCAACATGCTCAAAGCAACACGCTCCAATTTAAAATGCTCGTGCTTTTTTCCTGCCTGAAAAGTCCATTAATCATCAACAAAAAAAAATATAAATCGGTATTAGAAACGGGGGAAGAGAGTGCGGTCCCATCAGATGAAGGCGCACCATAAGAGGGTGAGCCTAGATGCACCTTAGTGAGGTTCCATCCCAAAACTAATTGGTGATAGGAGGAGTAGCCCACTAGGCTTATATACTAGACTCATTTTCCCTATAGAATCAATGTGGGACACTCACAAGTGATATTCAAACACGCCCCCTCACTTGTGAGTCCTTCGTAAGCCCAAGCCCACATAGCAGGCCGGGTAGAGATAGTCACTGCAGGTCCTAGGACAGGCCCGCTCTAATACCATATTAGAAACGGGGAAAGAGAGTGCGGTCCCACCAGATGAAGCGCACCATAAGAGGGTGAGCCTAGATGCACGTTAGTGAGGTTCCATCCCAAAACTAATTGGTGATAGGAGGAGTAATCCACTAGGCTTATATACTAGACTCATTTTCCCTATAGAACTAATGTGGGACACTCACAAGTGATATTCTAAGTGATATTCTAACAATCGGAACAATTTTAAGTCATTAATAGGCTATAGGGACTCACATTGATAGGCTAAATGAAATGCACCCAACAACATATATGTAACTAATTTCTCATTCATGCTTAATATTAACCAATTTTTCAATATCTATTCAAACTTTCCCACTTACTACCACAAATTAAAACAATTTTTGTTACATATATACCTGAACGAGAATAAAAAGAGTGGCCAAGAAAAAGAGAAGCCCCCCGAGACTGTAAACCAGAGGCACCGCAAACTCGACGAGCGCCAGCTGGATATCGAACTCCACCAACGGCAGCCGGAAATCTATTCCGGC